GTTCCGTTATTCCATTAAGAGGTCTGGACTCGGTCTGCTACTCGAGCTAGGTCGGACAAACTAGTCGTATTCTTCGAGTCATTTTGACAAGTGCTGTCAGTTTTCTGTACTCAACTCAAGAATTAGAGACAGATCTGGTACGTATATACATTGATTCAGTATGACCATACGCGTTTATCTGTTCCATCGAGGGGTCTGAACTCGGTCTGCTACTCGAGCTAGGCGACACTATTCGTCCTTCTGAAGTTCTCCTTACAGGCGCTCTTGGTATTATGTACTTCACTCGAGCTGTAGGCGAGCTAGCGAGCTGATGCGTACAGAAACCGATTCCAGATGAGCTTGAGAGCTCTCCCGCACAGAAATCAGAAGAACAAATATAGTGCTCACGTGTGTCTGCCAGTCCAATTCTCTGGTCCGCAGATGCAATGTTACTATCGCGGAAACCGACGTTGGATCAAAACGGGAAAAACGTATATTTCGAGTTTTTTTTCTTCACGCTTGAGAGAGCTTTTCCGTGTATACCGAGCAGCGCCTCGCGAAAAGAGCTCTACGAGGCTCCTGGCGGTAACCTGGTTGACGGTTCACCGCCGGCTCCCAGTTGACGGTTCACCGCCGGCGCCAGTAGATATTAACTTGGGTTTATAATGTTCCGGGATAGTTGATGAGGGTTCATAATGTCCCCCGCGGAACATTATGAACCTGGGTTCTAATGTTCCGGAAATATTGATTGGGGTTCATAATGTTCCCCCCCGGAACATTGTAAGCCCTGGTTTATAATTTTCTGGGCCTACCGATCCCAAAAAGATGTTAACCTGGGTTATAATGTTCTGGGCATAATGACCAGGGTTCATAATGTCCCGGGAATATTGAACCCGGTTTTTGGAAATCCGGAATGATAATAATTTGTTTATTTTCCCACCAACGCCCGGTGCCGCACCAGGTTTTTCATGTTGGAACATTGACCCAGGTTAATTATCTGCAGGAAATAATAAACCTGGTTTCCGGAATGTTGACCCCGGGTTAATTATTTTGGAATGATAATGATTTAGCCGGGGGGGTGTTGGAGAGTAGTGACCGGATTGAAATAAACCGTGGTCCATAAAGTTGGGATAATAATCTTCGGTTGATTATTCTGGAAAGATAATGATTCAGCCGGGGGGCTCAGCTTGATCCATCCACAGGACAATAAATTACAGGGTATCATCTGAAGATAATGAACCTAGGTTCATCATTCCTTGATAAAGAACCACGGTCGACGAGGATTTCGCACGTACCCTCCCAACGACCTGCCGCACGTCTCCAGCAGGTTTCTCCCGGATAGCTCTCTGAGGGCTCAGGGGGTTTCGGATGTCAAAGTCGGGCCAGCTGTGTGGGCCCGGAAGTCGCTCTGGCGGCGGGCAGGAGGCCTCGGCGCGAGTCGCTTGAGCATTCGCTTTTTCTTAATTAAGCGTTCCCGATGCGCGTGCCCGGAAGCTCTCCAGAAGGTACTTCGGGAGCTCTCTCCAGGTTCTTCCAGCTTGCTTCGTCAGGCCTTTTCATGCCCATCGGGCGCCCTGCTATCCATGTTCTGGGCTGCTCTCAGAGCTTCCCTGGTGTGGCAGACGAATAGGTAACAATTGCATTGTGAATTCAGGTCGAACGGAGCATGTTGAATGCGGAAGTCTAATCAGGCAGGCACTCGCCACGATACCATTTCTTGCGTGCGTTCGGTTTATGGATTGAATCCCGAGAGGTAGAGCAGCAGCAGACGTTTTATTCATACCAATGGACTCATCAGCATCGAAAGCAATCGTCTGGAGTCTACGTGAAACCTGCTATTCGAGGTACGGCCGAAACATTTTTCGAACTCTGTAATTGTTTTTGGCACATATTGGGTTTTTGGATTTGATCTCGAGATGTAGAGCAGTTACAGAGCTTTTATGAGCACCCATGAATTCAGCAGCACGGCAGAACCAGTTGAGAGACTTTGGAATGCTGTCATAATTCCCGACAGCATCGGTTCAGAGCCTTTAGAAGGTCGATATCGAGCTGCAACTGACTATTAGCACTCTGCAGCTGTTGCTCGAAACGGTTGGTTTCTGGATTCGATTTCGATATGGATGGGCAACAGAACTCTCAGTCGCAGAAGTCGATTCAGCAGCATCGAAGGCACGTGTCTAGAGCTTCGCCAAGACTGAGCTCGGTCGCCTATTCGACTTATGACCGAAACCCTACTCGCACTCTTGAACATTCGTTTGACACGCGGGCTTTATCTTGATATTTGAGCAGCTCAGCGGCCTTCTGAGCTATGATTGAAACCAAATTTCCTTGCAATCGCTTGTGCGACCATGTGTATAGGGCGTCTGTGCTCGGATAGAAGCCCTGCGAGTTTCCCAGCGCGTTTCCCGGCTCAGGCTCTCCGCCTCAAGCTCCTCGAGCGTTCATTTTCTCCTGCCTGGGAAACCTCCGCGGAGGTGCACGTTGAGCTAGCTAGGTGTTTTGCTCTGCTTACGCAACTGCCCATCTCCCTCTATATCTTGCCTCTCATTGTTGCCCCCTCATACTCATTTCTTGTTGCGGTGTGGTGGTGGCGATTTGTATTGTACCTTCGCCTTGCGTGGATATAACAATTTTGCAGTATCTGATCACATTCCAAGTGTGCCGGGTACTATTGTCTCGAGTTGTGCAGTGTTCTCATTCTTTTTGATGTCTTGTTCACATCACATCTATTTTCATGCCTCATGTTCGTAGCGGAATTGCATATCACAGGCGTCGTGTGAGAGCGTCACTCCTCGGATTCTGCGCGGCGCCCGTTCCTGTTGAACCGCCGCCGGGCCCCGAGACAGCCGTCGAGCCCGCGATTGACTTCTCATTGCGCTCGTTCGTCCCTGCAGTTGCTCTTGTCGATCAGACAGAGATTCTTTTGGATTGCCTGGCTTCGCATTCGGATAAGCAAACAGATACCGTGATTTCAAATGCTGCTGGGACTCAGACAGAGCTAGGTGCGCAGACTTCCGAGCAAGAAACACAGACTGACGTCGTGTTTCTGGGTAGCCGCATTCACTCTCTTACAAACGAGCCCGTGCATGGTCTGGGTTTGGGCTTGAGGTCGGAGTATGGTCACGCCGAGGCTGAATATTTCGAAGTTGCTCTTGAAGCTCGCGCAAACATTGTGCTGCGTAAACTCTCGGCTGAACCATTTGTGGCATCCCTTTGTGCTGTTGAAGTTGGCCAGGAAACAAATCTGGCCCGTCTCTTGGCGGATCCTGAGCATTTCGACGATCGAACTTTCAAGAATTGCATTGGTAATATTGCCACCGTGATGCTAGCGGCAAAACCATGCATGAAATGAGTTTACTGCAACGTTTCAGTAATGAGGTTATTGATTTCGTCCCACGTGCGTTCAGTTTTAGGAACAATACGACTACCCCTCATTCTGTTTCACTGTCCATTCCTGCCTCCTCTGGCCCTGCTCCGCCGTCTGTCCGTGTCGCTTCTCCGGAGTCGCGCCCGAAGACTCGAGGGGGGGATCGTGCCAAGGCCATGGGGACTTCCACGTGCTCTCAGGCCACCATTGCCGATTTTAAGGCTTGTATTGGCGCTGCTGGCAGTATGAACGGGTGGAATGCGATCCAGTATCTAAAGGATGGAGTGGATTTGCTTGCAGAACTCATGACGGAATGTGTGGTCCCTGCAAAGAAGGCCAGGGCATATTATGTTGTGCTGATGCGTGGGATGTTAGGGAATATGCAAGCGACGTTGGAGGACCTTCTGGACTTCTTCGAGAGGCGCATATAGTTTACAGGGCAAATGAACCGTGCCGAGGCTGCCAAGTTTCTAGAGGTCTCCAAGTGCAGCGATTCCCGAATCCAATTCTTCGGACGTCCGGGTTGCGATAAAACGTCGTCATGTGGAAGTACTGCTTGCGAAGGCAAAGGCAAAGGCAAAGTTAAAGGCGTCAACGAAGTGTGTAGGTTCGACAGGACGATGAGCGAATTTGAACGAAGGTGTGGGCATCCTGTTTTAGTCCTACTGTGTATATATATATATGGATATACAATTCTTTCAAATATAACATTTGACCTTATTTATATATCCACAGCTCCTCTGTTCTGTTTGACCTTATTGTATTGAGGCTTGGGTGTGTTTCATGCGTCCGGCTGTTGTCTTTGCATGCTTCTGATTCTCTTACAGTTATCAGTGGCGGAGCGTATTTGCGATGTGCTCCCACAGGTTGTGCAGGGTTTCTTCGGTCAGTCGCTTGTTTAAGACAAACTCGGCTGGTCTCACCTGGATATTTTTCCGTATTCTATATCCACACAGCTCCGCTGTTCTGTTTTACATCATTGTATCGTGGCGTGAGTGTGCATCTTGCGTTTGATTCTTGTCTTCGCATGCTTCTGTTTCTCTTATATTCCAACAGCTTCGCTGGTGTGAAATAATTGCTGACTGCTTGCTTGACAAGTATGAGGCTTTGCTTCGCCTGATACTTCGTTGGACCTGGCCTCAGTGGCCATAGCGGTCCCAGCAAAGACGCAACACAACTTTGGTTACCGTCGGGAACTCGTCTCGAGCCGCATTGTGCGGTCAGGTGGCCGCGATGGGGCGCGGGGGCCGCTGGCTGGAGATAGCTCGTAGATGGCATTTTTTTTTGAGCTTGCTGAAGACAGGTCAGCTCCGTTTGTGGCAGAGGTTTGTGATTCTTATGCTTGCTGCAAAAGTGGGCTTGTGCTTGTGTCGCTGCCTGCACTTATCCATTTTTGCTTTCTGCATTCGCGTGGCCCTTGTACTTCTCGTTCTTATTGGAGTATCAAGACATCGAGATATTGTAGCTGTTTTCTTTAATGTGTTACGACGGTGTATTTCGGCTTCAGTGAACCCGCCCGAGGGTTGGCGCAATTCTTGTCATAATTGCGCACTGAGTATTGGCGTGGCTTTTAGGCTCGTCCGTGTAAACGCTGTTATTGTGTTGGCTGGTCGGTGAGATTCGGTTGCCCTTGCAAGCTTCGTAGGCGACTCAGATGGTTTCCGCGGCCAGCGTTGAGATGGGCTCGCTGCCCCCCCCCCGGAATATCCAGAAGCAGGAGTCGTCCCCAGGAGAAAAGGAGCAGGCTCGTCGTGCTATGATTCTTTCGTCGGTTATGGATGAGGGGTTGAAGATGCTCATGCAGTGTTCGTTCGAGCAGACGTATCAGGCTGATGCTTCTCGCGTTGAATCGGACGCTCGTGTGGGTGCGCTGTCTCAGGCTGTCGAGTCTCAGAGCACGCATTTGACGCAGATACAGCAACGTCAGGATAGTATGGGCTGGAGGTTGGCAGCGCTCGAGGGCCACTGATCCGAGACAGGCTCCATTGCTGCTGCATCCCCGGCGGCGTCGCCGTCTGGAGTCAGTTTTGTCCCGACGTATGTCGAGTGCTGAGGCTGGGTCCAGGATTGGAGTTCGGCCGTTGCCAGATTTCGATCGATAGTTGCCGGGGATGAGGTTGTCATATTACTTGGGAATGTGCTGGAGGTCATACGGTGGGAGGATGAGTTAGTACATGCTCGTGTCGACATCGAGGGGTATAAACGTGCTGCCAAGTCTAAGGTGGTGACGGGCAACGTGAGGATCCGTTTCAGGAAGGGTACGGATAGCGATGTCCTATATGCTGTCCTGGCTATTCTTGTTGGTGTGAGTGAAGATGCCGATCGTCGTGGGACGTTGTTCGCTGGTATGTATGTGGCTTTGGCTCGTGCCCGTTTTGGTGTTGAGGCGCCTCCTTGGAAGGTGCAGCACAAACAAGACATCGGACGATTCTACGGTGACTGGTCTCGTGTATTTCCATACATCTTCTTGAAGGGTTTTGTCAGGCGCTGGCAAATCACCTTCAAACATATGTGGTCCGATCCTGTTGAGTGCCGCAGAGTGCAGATCGCGGAGTTCCGTTTGTCTGAACACGGTGGCGATGGTCAGTGGAGGGTGCTCCGAGATGCATGGCCAGACTTTGCTTGTAGGCACGGTATCCAGAAGTCCCCAGGGCAGATTGAATCCATGGTGGCTGTATTCATGTGTTGCAGTACTGCTCCGAATTACTTCGCATCTTTCATTTGATTCAGTTGTGCATTCATTGGTTGCAGTTCTGCTTCGAAGTAGCCCACTTTTATCAATGGATGCAGTTATGATCGACCCCGTTTGTGGTCTTTCCATATGCGACGTTGGTTCACGAATTTCTGCTCCCTGTACTTTCCTGCTTCGTACGTGGCTTCATGGTGTCCGTGTCTCGTATAGCTTGGAATTGGCGTGATGTTGGTAACTGTTGTTTTTTTTCTTTCTCGATGCCTACGCCTTCCTGGCTCGGCACTCTCCTATTCTGATGCCTCTGCCGTCCTGTCTCGGCACTCCTCTAAGTATGTGTGCTTTGCCTGTCGTTTGCTCCGTTTCGGCGTTCCTGTTGCTTGCTTTTGCAGGCTTTGCGGGCATGTGTAGGCTGAGTCTGGGCGGTTCGCCGCCTGCCAGTGCTCCACGCAAATGCCAACACCAGGTTGAAGGTCTACCGCCGGCATCCAGTGCTTTTCTACCGGCCCAGCAAGCGTCTCCTATGAGAGTTTGCGCGCTTTGGACCGCGCTGCTATCCGGTTTTTTACCTAACAGCGAAGTCTGATAGGTTTCTAGTGCTTCCAACAGAGAGCATCATGACTCTCCAGGGGGGTCTGGGCAGATGCCGGACGGGTGCCGCGGGAATCCAGGGATTCCTTTCTTAGCCAACAGTAACGCACTTCGTGGTCTTCGAGTTCCCAGAACTCCATTCCTGGGCATGATTTTGAATGCCCGGAGCCAACTGTAGGCCACTTCGTGTTCTTCGAGTTCCCAGGACTCCATTCCTGGACATGATTTTGAATGCCTGGAGCCCACTGTAGGCCACTTCGTGATCTTCGAGTTCCCAGAGCTCCATTCCTGGGCATGATTTTGAATGCCCGGAGCCAGCTGTAGGCCACTTCGTGGTCTGCGAGTTCCCAGAACTCCATTCCTGGGTATGATTTCGAATGCCCGGAGCCCACCGTAGGCCACTTCGTGTTCTTCGAGTTCCCAGAACTCCATTCCTGGGCCACATTTTAAATCCTGAGGCAGGCTGATGCGGAGGCTGAGGCAGGCTGAGGCTGAGGCAGGCTGAGGCTGAGGCCGAGGCTGAAAGCAGGCTGAGGCAGGCTGAAGGCAGGCTGAGGCTGAGGCTGAGGCAGGCTGAGGCTGAGGCTGAGGCAGGCTGAGGCTGAGGTTGAGGCAGGCTGAGGCTGAGGCTTGAGGCTGAGGCTGCAGGCTGAGGCTGAGGCTAGGCAGGCTGAGAGGCTGAGGCAGGCTGAGGCTGAAGGCTGAGAGGCAGGCGAGGCTGAGGCTGAGGCTGAGGCAGGCTGAGGCAGGCTGAGGCTGAGGCTGAGGCTGAGGCAGGCTGAGGCTGAGGCAGGCTGAGGCTAGGCTGAGGCTGAGGCTGATGCAGGCTGAGGCTGAGGCTGCAGGCTGAGGCTGAGGCTGAGGCAGGAGGCTGAGGCAGGCGAGGCTGAAGGCAGAGGCTGATGCTGAGGCTGAAGCAGGCTGAGGCTGAGGCTGAGGCAGGCTGAGGCTGAGGCTGAGGCAGGCTGATGCTGAGGCTGAGGCAGGCTGAGGCTGAGGCTGAGGCTGATGCAGGCTGAGGCTGAGGCAGGCTGAGGCTGAGGCCGAGGCTGAAGGCTGAGGCTGAGAGGCTGAGGCTGAGGCTGAGGCTGAGCAGGCTGAGGCTGAGGCTGAGGCAGGCTGAGGCTGAGGCTGATGCATGCTGAGGCTGAGGCAGGCTGAGGCTGAGGCTGGGGCTGATGCACGCTGAGGCTGAGGCAGGCTGAGGCTGAGGCCGAGGCTCTGCACGCCCGAAATGGGTATTGAAAGAATGGGTACAATGCCCAACAGCGGATCTTGTTCATTTTGAGCAGGGCTCGCTGTCCACGCTGCCGCGGCCTGTGCCATTCGAGACAGGAGGCCGCCTGCCCAACAGCGCCCGCTGTTGGTTTGGGACAACATTTGCTGTTGGGCATTATACCCATTTTTCGGTACCCATTTCGGGCGTCCAAAGAGGCTGCAGGCAGACTGAGGCTGAGGCTGAAGCAGGCTGAGGCTGAGGCTGAGGCAGGCTGAGGCTGAGGCTGAGGCTGAGGCAGGCTGAGGCTGAGGCAGGCTGAGGCTGAGGCTGAGGCTGAGGCAGGCTGAGGCTGAGGCTGAGGCCGACGGCAGACTGAGGCTGAGGCTGAAGCAGGCTGAGGCTGAGGCAGGCTGAGGCTGCAGGCTGGCTGAGGCTGAGGCTGAGGCTGAGGCTGAGGCAGGCTGAGGCTGAGGCAGGCTGGCTGAGGCTGAGGCTGAGGCTGAGGCTGAAGCAGGCTGAGGCTGAGGCTGAGGCAGGCTGAGGCAGAGGCTGAGGCTGATGCATGCTGAGGCTGAGGCAGGCTGAGGCTGAGGCTGTGACTGCGACTGCCGTTGCCACTGCGACTGTCATCGCGAATGCGACTGCGACTGCGAGAACAGCAGAATTCTACAACTGGATTCTCATCTGAATCTTAAGGGGAATGCTTCCAGGTATGCTCCTACACATCGCTGTTAGGTTGCTTTGCCGGGATAATTGGATTACATAAGTCGGCCCTACAAGACGGACACCATAAGTGCATGGAGGCGGGGGCTTCCAGAGCGGGGCAGCAACGCAGAAGGCGCGGGGTTGGGGCGGTCGTCCCTCGCCCTGCGCGTGCGCGGACATGCGCCCCCCTGGGAGGTACGAACCGGACGGCCAGAGCTGGCTCGGCCTGGATCTGCGCGCCTGCTCGGACCATTTTCTGGGGCGTCGCCAACAAATTGATTTGGCGTCAGGTGGAGAGCCTTCTTGTGGATGGAGAGATTCTGGAGCGGCGCGAAAGGTTGCTCGTCGTGGCGGCCCTGCTGCCGTGTACCCGTTTAACTGGAAGGCGCTGAAGGCCGTGGTGAGGGCCTGCAACGCGAGCGAGGACGAAGGAGGCCGCCAGCGCATGCTGAACGCGCCCTCGCCTGCAGCGCGCGCTACAACAACTCGGAGCGGAAGACCTCGGCCGCGGAGAAGTTCGAGGTGGGGCAATTGTGATCGTTGCGACGGGGGCCGATGCGACGCTTCTCTCGGGGCCGTGGTATATATCCTCGGGGCTGGCCTGGGTTCGGCGTGGCTCTGGGTGTGGGGCGGTACTGGCGCTCGTCGTAAGTTTCATTTTGCTGCGTGCGGCCTCCGTCAGAAAGCGTTTGGTGTCCGTGCCGCAAGGCTGCGTTTGGCGAGGCGCACCTGCAACGCGGCGCTGGTAGACCCGACGGAGGAGCTCTGGATCGAGTGCGGCGCGATCCTGGAGACAGGGGCGCTCGCCGCGTGGGGTACCTCCCTGGAGATGGTGCGCGACTTGGGTGGCTTCGGGCAGCTGACCTCTGGGGTGCTGGTCGACCACTTGCGCTTGAAGGGCTTTTGGAACTATGCGTTGTTGGAGTGGTGCGGGATGCCAGGGTCGCGGCTGTTGCAGGGCATGTGCGAGGTGTGGTACTTCGGCGAGACGGGGGCTACGTCCGGGTTGGGCATGGTGCTCGGCCTGCGCCTGGCGGACGAGGTCCGTATGTCTCACGTCGAGAGGCTGCGATGGATGCGTCGCTTCTCGGAGGTGCAGCAGGCGCGGAGCGCGAAGAGCGCGCTGATGGAGACGCGGCCGCCCTTGGAGCTCAGCGACAGAGAGCGCGGCTGGTGCGAGATGCAGAAGCCGAATAGCGCCTCGAGGATGAGCTGCTAGGAGGTGGGGCCAGAGGCATAATTTCGTCAATCCCGAGACGAAGCGCAGAGTGAAACGCAAGCGCCACGGTCGGAGCAGGCAGGAGGACCCGATCATGCGGCCAAGCGCGCGGGGGGGCCGCGCCTGCCGCGGGATTTTGCCTCGCGAGAGGACGCGAGAGGTCTGGTGGCTGCCGCGCCCGGAGTGGCGTTGCCGAGCGCGGCTTTGCCAGGGGCGCAGGTGGAGATGCGCGGCGGCGAGGGGGCGTGCCCGAGGCCAAATGCATGGGGGCTTCCCTCGGGGCTCGAGCTGGCGCTCGAGGACGAGGTGGATCTCATTCGCCAAATGAGCAACGATCCCAAGGGCGCCGTTCGGTCCGCCGCGGGTCTCGTGACGAAGGCACAGTGCTAGGAGATTCTGCTGCGGCCGGACAGCCGGGCATGGGCTCAGCGGTGTAGTGCGACCGGCAGGGGGGAGACGGCGCAGGGAGCGTTAAAGCCGTGTCGGCAGGGAACCGCCCTGTTGAAGGAGCTCGTCAGTATTTCGCAAGAAGGAAGAGGCACCCGCGGAGACCCGCGTCCTGTTTGGCCGGCGCAACGCGCGCGTGCCGCGGGGGTGCGAACGACGAAACTCGGGGGCATCTGGCGCTTGGCCCATAGGGGAAGGAGGCCTGGGAGCTGATGGAAGGAGCGCTCCCGCTCGATCGCGGGCTTCAGGGCGCTGGGGCTGGATGAAGGCCTGTGGGCCAGCTGTAGCAGCGACGATGTTGTACTTGCGGGCTGCTGCGCAGCTGTGCTAGGCCAGAGGCGAGCGGCTGCTGGATTGCTGCGCTGGCCTGGAGGTGTGCTGTTGGGCTGCCGCTGGCCAGAGGCGAGCTGCCGGGCTGCTGATGGGCTGCGTGGCTGGAGGCGTGCTGCTGTGCATTGCTGGGCTGGGGGTGGGCTGCTGGACTGCAGCGCTGGTGGCGCGCTGCTGGACTTCTGCTGCGCTGGTGGCTTGCTGCTGGATTATTGCACGCTGGTGCCACGCTGCCGGACTTCTTTTACGTTGGAAGCGGGCTATTTGATTGCGTCTGGGGCGCGGGAGGCGGGCTGCTCGAAAGTTGCTGGGGCGCCAGAGGCGGGCATCAGGGCTGCTGTTGGGGCACTGGGGGCGGGCTGCTGGGCGGCTGCTGTGAGGCCGGAGGCGGGCTGTTGGGCGGCTGGTGGGCGGCTGCTTGGACGCCGCAGGAATTGGGTTGTTGGGCAACTGGGGGATCGCCGGAGGCGAGCTGCAGGGGCGGGCTGCTGGGCTCCTGCTCCGGCGGCGATCCCTCTGGCTGGGGCTCCGTGTTGGCAGGCTGCGGTGTAGATGTTTTGGCAGCATTATAAAAAAGAGGGATACGTTCATCTCATCGTGTGTTGTTCGGTCGACGTTCTGCAAACCACTCTCTCTCATCACTCTTCCCTCGTATCGTCCACATGTTTCGTAGGCCGCAGGGTTTTATTGTTTGTTCGATTTTGGAAGACTTACAGTTGGATGGTTTGTGGTTTTCATTGGAAAAAACGGATGAACGACCCCTTTCCCCCTGCCCCGGTCATGGCGGCAGAGTGAGGGAGACTTGCAGTTTTATGTTCTGTGGTTTTCTAAGGAAAACTGATCAGCGACCTCTTCCCCCTGCCGCGCTCATGGCGGTGGATTGTTGTGGGTTCGCCTGTCGGCGTCCTGTGGTTACTGTGGAAAACCGAAATGAAACGTGAGCGCACACGGCAAGTTCTCCGAGCAGAGGAGGGCGATGCTTTATTTGATCACATGACGTGGCATGCGGTAACAGGAAGGAGGAGGAGGGTGAAGAGAGGGGGAGAAACGAAAACAACATATCCCAATCCACCATTCCGAAATATGATTTGGTATGTTTGCGACAGTTCTCGCTCGTTTTTCAAATTGTCTGCTCCGAACAGGCTCGTTGGTGTCTTGTCGCGACAGCTGGGGCCGTTTTCTGTGGACCGAAAGCAGGGGTTCCCGACAAGGCTCGCTGGTGTTGCTTGTCCTGCTGTGTACTGTGCTGTATTCTGTGATTGCAAACGCATGGCCACTCATGTGCAGCGTATGCGACTGTCTGGGGTTCTGGGGTATGAGGTACGGTTGAACAGCCTGTGCTTGGTGGTGTAGACTCGTGTTTTCAAAGCAAACCGAGGATGTCTCGAGAGAGGCACCGCCGGGTGGTACGGACAATCTCGAGTGCACAGCTTGGGGCCCGCTCAGACTCCATGGCCTCCACCGAGGTCGTGGCCGTCGACGCGTGGTTTCAGCGATGGCCAGGAGAGCGAGGATGACGACGACGACGAGGACCACGAGCGCGAAGACGACGACCACGACGACGACGACCGCGACGGCGACGAGGACGAACACCACGACGACTACGGCGACCACCACGATGGTGACGACGATCATGACGGCGACGAGCAAGACTACGACGACGACGACGCCGATGACGACGATCACGATGAACATGACGACGGCGACGACGACGATCACGACGACCAGGACGACGACGGCAACGCCCGCGACGACGACGAGAAGGACGTGCACGACGGCGACGACAACGATTACCACGGCGATGACGACGGTCACGACGACCAAAACGAATACGACGAACGCAGCGACGACGACGGCGATCACGACGAGCACGACAGCGACGACGACGACGACGACCACGACGACGGCGACGACGACGAACACGACGAGCACGACGACGACGACGCCGACGACGACGACGACGAAGACGACGAGGACGACGACGACGACGACGACGAGAGGATGAGACATGCAGCTCGGGCGGCGGCTGGTCCTGCGCCCTCGTGCGCCGCCCTCCCCCCATGCGGAGCCAACCTGGGAATGTCTTGGGCTCGCCTAGGGGCCTTGTTGCGCCTTCGAGGCGCCTCTTGGGGGGCATCCTGGGGCCCCTGGGTGCCACCTTTGGGGCTATCTTGGGTAATGTCAGGGCTGTTCGGGGACCTCTGGGGGGCCTCTTGGGGGCCATCTTGGGATCCACTTGGGCCCTTCTCGGGGCCGCCTTGGGGTCTTTTTGGGGTCGCAGTGCGCGATGTTGGTGATCTCTTCAGGTCTTTGCGAGCCGCCTCGGTACCTTCTTGGCCAAAGCTGGGCGGGTGACATAACACATTGAACAACGATGTGTTGCCTTCTCGGCGCGTTTTTGGTTCCTCCTGGGGGGTTCTAGGGGGTACTCTCGGACCGACTTTGGGCCGCCTTGAACGCGGCAGGCAACGCAGCAGCTGCAGCGGGAGGATAGATAAGAGGGCGCGGGAGGAGGAAGAACGGCGGGAGTCAAGGACGGCGGGAGTCGCGCGGCGCGCCGGAGGAAAAGCCAGGACAAATCTTTACGGGATGGTTGGGAGAAACAATGCGCGTCGGGCTCTCCTCCGCCTGCTCTCTTCCTTCTTCTCGCCCTTTCCGCAGCCGTTTGGGTCCAGATCTGGTTCGAGCCTCTGCTGGCGGGCCCCTGAGGCGCTGAGGGCGACCGAGGAGTCCTCGGTCATGGCTCCTCGGCGGCACTGGGCGTTCCGAGTCCTCGCGTCCGTATCTCTGACTGTGGCGCTGTCCGCCGCCAGCTCTTGCGGTGAGGCGCCGAGCGCAGCTGGGAACTGCTTTGAGGCGAACGACGAGGCCAGCATGCTGCAGCGCCCCCCTGGACGTCGGGAGCAGCCGGTGGCTGAAGAGGTGTTGCCGCCCAACGGCAGCGGATCTGGCGACGAAGAGGACGAAGAGGTGTTGCCGCCCAACGGCAGCGGATCTAGCGACGAAGAGGACGAAGAGGTGTTGCAGCCCAACGGCAGCGGAGTCGGCGACCAAGAGGATGAAGAGCTGTTGCCGCCCAACGGCAGCGGATCTGGCGACGAAGAGGACGAAGAGGTGATGCAGCCCAACGGCAGCGGAGTCCGCGACCAAGAGGATGAAGAGCCGTTGCCGCCTGCTAACGGCAGCGGATCTGGCGACGGGGTTTGTGGTGGCCCCCCCAAAGACGCGATTCCTTTGGATTGGGGTATGGCGCTGAGAAGGGCGGGACCAGATCCGAACAACTGGCCCGCAGTTGTCATGGAGTACGGTGCGGGGACCGACACCAACATTCTTCCACTGACGAACATGCTGAACAAAACGCTTTCCTGGAGTGTGGATCTGTCGCAGGCTGGTTGCCAGAACGTCGTAGCATTCCAGATGGTAGACGCGAAGCTGAACGAAGGGTGCTATTGCGACGGGAACGGCCTTTCGGCAAGGCCAGACGATCCGCACAGCCCAGGGAACTGTAAGGGATGGATGAATATTCCGCTTTATGGAGGCGTCCAACCTTGCCAAGAGATAGACTTCATGGAGGCCAACATCTACGAGTGGAAAACTACATTGCACGATGGACTTTTAGGAAAACATGGCTGGGATTATGGCTCTGGTGGCAGCCCTCAAACGGAGCAAGGCAACGTCATATACATGCCTCGGAGCGCAGCAATGGACCCGAGTAAGCCGTTTCATGTCAAGGCGGCGTTTCTCGTGTACGACAACGGCACGTTCAGCGGCTTGAAGATGACGCTTTCCCAAGGCTGTCTGACGGGGCCCCTCACGACGTTCACGCTGTTTCCACCCGAAGATCAGAAGAACCTCACGCAGCTGGGCAAAGCTATCCAGCGGGGCATGACGCCAGGATTCAGCTACTGGAACACGGGCGGCCCCCAGTCCTGGTTCGACGACGACAAGTGCTTCGGCACTAACCACGGCGGCCCCGTCGTCTTCTACGACTGGGGGCTGACGGACGGCGCGCACTGACCTGCACAATGAGGGAGCGCGCGATGCCTCGGAGGCCTCGCCTGGAGGCCTCGCCCCCGCGGCCTGCGGAGGCCGGCGGCGGCGCCGGCGGCGGCGGCGGCATCGGCGGCGGCGGCGGCGGCGGCGACGGCGGCGCGCCTTCTTCGGGTCCCAATAAAACAGGGCTAGGATCGGGATACATCGCTCCAGAGCGTTCCGGAGCGCTCCCAGAGCGCTCCGGGACGCTCTGGGAGCGGCCGCGGCGCCCAAGACGTCTTCCAAACCCGCCGATGCTCAGAGACTTCGAGTTGTCCCGGTCCGATGTTGTCCCGATCTTCGCGTCGTTGTGCCCGAGGGGGGCTCCTGGCGGCCCCCCCAGGGAGGGGGCCTCCGCGGGGGGGGGGGGCTCGGCGGGCGGCCTCGGCAGGCTGCGTCTGGCCCGCTGGCTCCAAAGACTCCCGTCGTCGTCGTCGCCGTCGCCGTCGCCGTCGCCGTCGCCGTCGCCGTCGTCGTCGCCGTCGTCGTCGCCGTCGCCGTCGCCGTCGTCGTCGCCGTCGTCGTCGTCGTCGTCCTCGAGCTTGTCGTCTTCGCCGTCGTCGTCGGCGTCGTCGTCGGCGTCGTCGGGCCGCTGCCGCGCTCCAGGGCTTGTGAGAGACGGCTCCTGATCGAGGGAGCCGGTCCATGAGGAAGAGGGCGGGGACCTCCGGGGACCCCGCATCGAAACCAGCACGGCCTCGGATGTGGGGCCAGGGCGAGGGGGAGGAGGGGGTGGAGCCGACGGCGCTGCTGGCGGCGCGGCGGCAGCCGCGCAGCGTCGACGGGCGCGATGAAAGTTCACGCATGGGCGGCTCGTGGTTTCGAGGCAGGGCCGGCTGAGCGGGGTCCGAGTACACCAACGTCGTGATTTTTCAATGCGGAGGTTCTTCGACATTTTTCGGCATCCGCAGGCCGTCCACGGGCTCCGGAACCGTCAGTAATCGACCCAGGACGACAAACCCAGCTTGGGAAAATTATCGGGACCTCGGGGGACCACCAAGGACCCCGTATTGAACAAATCACGACATCGGATCTCTGGGGTTGCCTACCCTCGGGGGGGGGCCACGTCGCCGCGGCTGGACGGAGCGTGGGAAGCTGATGCGCTTGGACTGGGACGGGCCTGGTGATCGATTTGAGAGGATGCGGGCCAGGCGGTAGGGCCGCCGTTGTCCCCCCAGACCCCGAACGCCGCTCCAAGCCGCTCCCCGGAGCCCTTCCAGGGTCCATCCGGGGCAGTTTTCCATCCCTGATCGATGCTTCATGATCTGGGGGGTCCGAAAGCGGCCTCTGCAGCCCTGCATCGTCGAGCAACCTCGAGCCTCGATCCTCGAAACCGGCGCTGTGTTGTCTTAGCTGGCCCTCTTCCGATGACATGGCCACGGTGCGCCACGGTGTGCTGCGGTATCAGCAGCACGCGGTGCCGGTACCGTTAGCCGTGCCTGATTGCTGCCGCTGGCACTGGTACTGCCCGTGCAGTAGCGGGACTCTGCGATATCGGTACCAGTGCGGTGCTGGGACCGCGCTGCGCCGGTACGGGGCCAGGACCGCGGCCGGCACCGGTAATTGGAAGGACAAATGGGAACGGAGGCAGGAACGAGGAGGAGGAAGAGGAGGAGGAGGAGGAGGAGGAGGAGGAGGAGGAGGAGGAGGAGGAGGAGGAGGAGGAGGAGGAGGAAGGAGGAGGCCAGGGCCCCAGCCCCCCAGAGCCTCCCAGTGCACCCCAGTACCCCCCAGTATCACAAGCTCGCGCAGCACCTGGTCCTGGGCCCTGCAGTGGATCTATTGGAGAGCGTCGTTGCCATGTAGATTACCAGTACTCTCCAGCGACTTGTCGGGGAAGCGTAAGGCTCGAGCAAGTCAGAACTCGGGTGTGTCGAAGTTTTTCGACGAGCGCGTCCTGGATTTTGACGGTCCGGTTTTCAGGGGATGTTTTCAGCGGGAGTTCGCGTCTAGTTTCAGAATGGGTCTCGTCATTTTCATGATGGCCCCGTCAGGCCAACCCGAGTCCCCCGTGCCCGAGTCTTGCGTCTCTCCGAGCTTGGTCTGTGATTAGGCCAGAGCGTCGCCTTTTTCGCTGGGGCGGAGCCTCGCGGTGGAGCCTCGGCGAGAGCGACGCTGCTGTGGATGCCACCAGCAGGGTAGGTGCATGGACGCAGTTCCTCCACGCATCCATCCATACATCCGACGGGCATCGGTCGGCAGGGTGGTGGGATGTGACTCGCGGGGCCGCGGTGAGATGAATGGGAGGAGTTGGAAGCACCAGGACTTTTTTTCTGATGGCCCTGTTGGGCTTTATGTAACCCGCCCACCACCACTGCTCCTTAAGTGGTTTGGGCCTAACGGTCATGAAATATGTGGGCTATTGATATGGATTTCGCCATACAAGAAAACGAAGACAACAAGAGCAGCACCAACAATGATACTCAGTTTAACACTGCGTGCTCTCATAATGTCGCGTATCATGCATGTATCTCCCAAGCTCCCTTCTGCTCCTTTTCCACTCTCTCATTGTGCCTCGCTGGCCCAGTTGACTGGTCGGGACCAGCCTTGGTCCGAGCGTGGATTGGGCGTGTGCATTGGCGCTGGCCAGCCTCGCCCACCACCTCCCATCCCCTCCCCTCCCCGCGCCGCTGCCGTCACGGCATCGAAGGCCATTCTTTCGATGCTCTATAAACGCAGGGACTTGTTCGTCAAGGTCCTGTTCAGTCCGAGCGTAGCTCGGGGCGTATGCATTGGCTGAGACCCCATGGGGTTCTGTCATTCCGGCTGGCCAGCTTCGCCCGTTGCTTCCCATATCTCCCTCGTGAACAAAAAATGCATGTATCTCCCAAGCCCTCGATTCCCGCCTTCTTCGTCTTTGGTCGTACCCCATTGGGGGTGCAGGTTCCTTCCCAGCCACGTGTAATTGATTTGTGCAAGCCCATGAAACAGGACGAACAAGAGTAATGACAAGGAAGTTAGCGAGAAGGAAGGGAGAGGAACGGCAACAACAGTCCATGCCAGTTTTTCGCTCCTATCTGCTCGCGCGCCAATTAGCATGTCTCAAACCCTAGATAACTCGTTCTCCCAGTCATCGACCGTACACCCTTGACGTATATGTTTCTTACCTGCGACGTGTAGCTGGCTCAGCTCTGAAAACAGGATGGAGACGGGACAAAACATAGAGGGATAATGATGGAACAAGCGGCAGAACGGGATGGGCGGATCGGGTGGGCGGACCTTGCGGGGCGGGTCGGGCGGGCCCAAACGGCTGGTTCGAGCGGATGGGTCGCTGAAGCAGCAGCAGTCCTGCGTGAATCGCGAGGAAGTCTACAGCAATAGCGCAATTCCCAGCGTCCCCTGGAGGCTCCAGTGTCCAGGCGGCCCCAGTACCCCCCAGTACCTCCGAGTGCCTCCCAGGGCCCCCCAGTGCCCCCCAGTGCACCCCAGTACCCTCCAGTGCCCCCCAGTGCACCCCGGTACCCCTCAGTACCCCCCAGTACTTCCCAGTACTTCCCAGTACCCACCAGTGCCCCGCATGGGCCCCCTAGTGCCCCCAAGGGCCTCCCAGTGCCCCCCAGTGCGCGCCCAGCACCCCCGGGGCAGCACCCCCCAGTACACCCCCCTAGTACCCCCCAGCACCCCCAAGTGCCCCCCATGGCCTCCCCCCCAGTACCGCCCAGTACCCCCCAGGGCCCACAGTACCCCCCAGCACCCTTCAAAACCCTCAGTGCCCACTCTTAACCACCAGTACACCCCAGTCCCCCAGTACGCGATGAGTGCAATCCCCCCAGCAGAAGGTCGCAATCCCCGGCAGAATGGTTCAATCCCCGGCCCCTTCTGTCCTCTTCTTTCTTTTTCTCCCTCTACCAAAATGCGATCGCATATTTCAAGTTGCCTGATGGAAAGGAGGCTATTGAGCTCATCATGCCCACGCGAATCCTTAAGGTAAACACATGACGTCTGGGAACATGTATTGCTGGGGATTGAACCCTTCTGGGGTTTTATCTGCTGCCATCCTCGTAGTAGTGAGCCAAGTGGAATTGAATGCTTTTCTTCACAATCAGGACCAATCTGGGTTCATAATAGGGTCCAGGGCGATCCGATCGGAATGCTGTAGCATTCCTTTTCTAAGGCTTCGTCGAGCCGAACCGCGCGCCATGACCGTTTTGGCGGTGGGGATCACCAGTGCCATCATCGCCTCTGCCTCCGCTCGGCCAACAAAAACACATTCCCACTTGGGGCCCACGTTTGCGAAAGAGGCCTCTCAGGAGGCCTGTTGGGGCCTGGCGAACGGCCCCAGGGGCTTGTCGAAGGGCCCAGGAGGCTTGCCGACAGGCCCAAGAGGCCGCTCGGGAGGCCCAGGTGGCTTGTCGGAGCGTCCAAGCCCTGGAGGCCTGTCGAGGGGCCCTGGAGGCCCGTCGAAGGGCCCAGCACGCCCGTCGAGAGGCCGAAGAGGCTTGCCGGGAGGCCCAAAGCGGCTTGTCGGAGAGCCCCAGAGGACTGTCGGGGAGGGCGAAAAGGGGCTTGTCGGAAGGCCCGAGAGGCATCTCGGGAGGCCCAGAGGGTATTTCGGGAGGCCCCAGGGGCCGCTCGGAAGGCCCAAGGGGCTTCTCGGGAGTCCCAGGGGGCTTGTCGGAACGCCACAGAAGCTTTTCGGGAGGCCGAAGGCGCCTGTCGGAAGGCCCCAATAGCTTTTCGGAAGGCCGAAGGGACTTGTCCGAGGGCCTCAGAGTCCTGTCGGAAAGCTGAAGAGGCGTCTCGAATGGCCCAAGATGCTTCTCGGGAGGCCCAAGAGGCGTCTCGGGAGGCCCAAGAGGCTTTTCGGGAGGCCCAAGAAGCTTGTCGAATGGCCAAAAGGGGCGTCTTGGAAGGCCCAAGAGGCCGGTCGAACTGCCCACGAAGCCCTTCGGAAGGTCCTTCGTATATTACGCCAGCTTTGCGCCCCCGAAGCCACATTCTCTTGTACATTAATGCGCGCTTGCGTTCCCGAAACCAGACTCCCTCGTACTCTGCTGCGCGTTGGCGTTGAGCACGCCAGAGCCGTGCCCCAAAACCGCAATCCCTTGCAGATGACACCATATTCGCGCTGCCGAGGCCACAATCTTTTTTTGTAATATACAGATTCTGCGCTGCCGAGGCCACAATCTTTTCTGCTGCAATGCACAGAAATTCTGCGCTGCCGAGGCCCATTCTTATTCGCGCTGCCGAGGCCACAACCTTTCCTGTAGTATATACAAAAGTTCTACGCTCTCGAGGCCACGAGCCCACCCCCACACGGTGGCGGCCAGAAGCCGCGGCCCACGCCAGCGCAGAGGCACTGTCATTTCATCTCTGTGTGCGGGGGCGACGACGATGACGACGACAACCATGATGGCCACGCCCACGACGACCACGACCACGACCATGACCACGACGAAGACAACGACGACGATGACGACGACGACGACGACGACCACGACGACGGCGACGACGAGGAAGACAATGTCGTTTCCTGACAGTTCGGCTCGGGGCTCGGGGCCACCACCAGTCCTTAATTCATTGCAGACGCGCGCGGACAGCCGGCCAGCAATCAGCCCAAACAAACCGCGCACTATTGATTTAGAGGAGGAGGAGGAGGAGGAGGAGGAGGAGGAGGAGGAGGAGGAGGACAAGTAAATCAGCCGAGTTGCCAGCAGGCCAGCCGACAAGAAAACCGACCAACCAACCTACCAACGACGCGTGGCCATGCAGGCAATTGGAAGGGGGGCTGGCGGGAGAGGGCGACGCCCTTCAGCTAAACTGGAGCACCGAACTTGGGGGTCTTAATCTAAACATATTTTCTGCTGCGCTGTTGTGCTTGCGCCAGTGGCATGCCGCAGGTATCAGAAAATGTATTGGCTGATTCCTCGAGAGAATCGTGGGGGATGAAACCGACACCCTTGGACATTGACGGTCAGCTCACAAAATGCTGAATGCTTAGTCCGTGTTCGCCAGCCTCGAACTCTGAGAATTATAGTATGTTGGGCGGACACTGGCATGCGTGGGAGGCCTCGAAGCGTCGACGAGGCCAGCGGCGGTGGCGGATGAACGCCTCATGGGCAAATCGGTCGGCCACGGAAGTACCGTTACGGAGGGAATCGTCCAGAGAGGATTCATGCAGACGCACGCTGTCGAGGAAGCGTGTGAACCAGAAACTCGCAAGACTTCCGAGGCGGGAATTTATCCATATCCACCGCCTGGAGGGTCAGTTTTCGGAGCCTCGGCAGGCGGTGGATATGGACATATTCGGGCCCCCGGGGGCCGAAATATATCCATATCCACCGCCCGCTGGGGCACCAGGACGTCGGTTCCCAGGCGGTGGATATGGATAAATCCCCGCCTCGCGAGACTGCACTGCCTGCCCCCCTCTCCGCGCCTCTCCCGCCCACTTCGGATCCCCTCCGCGGGGCCGCCTCTGCTCGAGGCGCTCTTGGCCGTCAGCCCTCCCGTCGGCGCCTCGCCCCAGCGCAGGCCGCCCCGCGACGAGGCGGGGAATGGTGCCGTGAGCAGCTGCCCCCGGAGCCGACGCGGCCGCTGCCGATGGCGGACGCGCTCCACGCATCGGCCGGAGGGGCCCCCCTCCCTGGTGCGATGCCGAGCGACCGCACGCGGTGCCCCGGCACGGACGAATTCCGGGGGCAGGGGCGCCGCGGAGGCTGAGGCACGCTTCTCGGATGGACGACAGCGGGGGGGGAAGCGAAGGGAGAAAGGGGAGGGGGGGTGGAGAAGACAGGCGCGCTTTTCCTGCAACTCGTCGGTGCGGGGTGTGGCAGCCGTGGCCCCCTTCAGGGCCGCTCTTCAGGGGCAACGGTCGGGGGGGGATAGGCGTAGGAGGGGATACATTGACCCCAATCGCCCATTGATCGCCGACAGGGGTCTGGCTGGTAGCCCCACCCCGCCCAGAAAGGTGCGGTTTCGCTATCGGGATCCCATCGCCGATCCATCGGCGATGTATCGCCGATTCCAGGTCGATGCCCCCCCCCCCCCACATTATGCCAGTCCCCCCCTCTATCGTTGCCCCTCAACTCCAGGGCCTCTCTCCTGCAGCCCTCGATCGTCCCCCCGCCCGTTTGTTGCCCCCCCCCCCCCCCCCGCGATAATCCAGAGGGCCACCGGAAAAGGTTTTTCGGAGGCAGGTAGCTCTCTCAGGAAGGCTGTCTTCGAGCGCCGGGCCTGCCACTTCCAGGCGTCTTCGGATCTCTCCCAGGGTGAGTCCCCGTGTCAGGATTTCGCCCGTGTCCAGGTTTTCGCCCCTCGGTGTGTGCGGCCACCTCCTTGTTGTGAGGACTGCACCTCCCGGCGGCTCGGAGGTGCCCCGCTGGCGTGCCTCTTCTGCCGGTGCGGTCTTGGAGGGGACCACAGAGCTCACTACGCAGCGTGCCCTGAGACCCAAGGCCGTTCTTCCGCTCCTTCCTCTTCCTCCCCCTTTTTGGGGTCGCCCCCGGCCCTCTCCCGTGTTGCTGTCTTTTTCCCGGCTTTCCCGCGTCCGATTCAGCTATCGTCAGTGTCGCTGTGTATTTCGATTTGTTGTCCACAGCTCATCATTCCTACAGGAGCTGTGGAGGAGTTTGGGGAAACTTCCCTCAGCTGCGCGCGGCGGGCTATAGCAGTTGCTGCGCCGTAAGCCTTCCCTTGCTACAGCGATCCGCAGGTGAGGCGAGCCTCATGGGGGACAGCGGATTTCCGCCTCGGAGGATTTATCCGTAAGGGCTTCGCCCCCTGCCGCCGGCCCCCTCTCTCGGAGAATGGGCCATGGAAGAGCTAAGTCATGAGGCCTTGGCGCTGTCGTGAAGCAGTATCGAAACTTCATGCGAAGCCGATTCGCAATCAGCAAAACCAACTGATCACAAGAGGGGTTACCACACCTGGCGATTGGTAAGACGTGTATGGTTTACGGGCTTGGTTACCACACCTTGCGATTAAAGGGCCGAGGGAGTTCTCGCAGTTTGGGTTACCACGCCTTGCGATGGATGTGCAGAAATGTGAAGGGTGGCACCGAATTTCAGAAATGTGGCAAATCCCCTGTGTTTTTGGACCCTGACCCCGCGGATCTGCGTGAGGGGTGGCACCGAATTTCAGAAATGTGGCAAATCCCTGTGTTTTTGGACCCTGACCCCGCGGATCTGCGTGAGGGGTGGCACCGAATTTCAGAAATGTGGCAAATGTGGCAAATCCCTTATGTTTTTGGACCCTGACCCCGCGGATCTGCGTGAGGGGTGGCACCGAATTTCAGAAATGTGGCAAATCCCCTGTGCTTTTGGACCCTGACCCCGCGGATCTGCGTGAGGGGTGGCACCGAATTTCAGAAATGTGGCAAATCCCTGTGTTTTTGGACCCTGACCCCGCGGATCTGCGTGAGGGGTGTCGATTTCGAGCCCCCCCAGCAATTCAGACAACGCGCCCAGGGGATGCTAAAAAGCCACTTTGGGCCTCCCCCCCCTCGCGCGGTCAATCAACTAGTTACAGTAACCAGCAATAAGTCAACTAGTTACAGCAACCAGCAAGAAGCAGAACTGTAACACTGGAAACTACAACCTACGACTGGTACAGGAAACTGCGAATCACGGGCCTACAGCCTGGTGGCCCCACAAGGGGGCCGGCGGATTTCTTCGTCTCGCTTCTTGTCCGCTTGCCCTCCTCTCTTTTTTTGTTTTCGGCCTGTGAACTCCTCCTCCTCCTCCTCCTCCTCCTCGTCCTCCTCCTCCTCCTCCTCTCCCCGTGTCTGCCACAAGGCGCTCTCCGGATTGTGAAAGCAAGTGTGTGTGTGTGTGTGTGCGTGTTCGTGTGCTTAGATGTTGAGCGACAGGACAGCAATGCTTCTTGTATTCTGTCTGCAAGGTACTGGACCGACGCCAACTACAGCAGGTTTTACGCCGTGAGTCAGGAGGAGCGCCGCTGCATCAAGACGGCAGCCGCAGGAGCTGGTCTGTCTCCTGGCGGTGCGTTACGGATGGGAGCAGCTTGGAAGGTCCTCCGCTGCTCTCCCCCCCCTGTTCTCCCCATTCCTCTTCCCTCTCCCCCATCTCTCCTTTCTTCTCCTCCTTCCCCCTCCCCCTTAACCCTCCCCTTCCCACCTCCCCTTCCCCTAAGTCCAAGGGTGCTTCTGAGGAAATGCTCAGTGCAGCATGTACCGCTGCCGTGTGTCCCTTAGCTGTGCACGGCCAACCTGCTTCCCGTGTCTCCTGTTGGACCTCACACGTCAGCATCTCGCAACCCGGGGGCGCCTTTCCGATCTCACCGCTCAGGCGACGCCACGAGCAGGCCGCTTGCAGGTCGCCTCGACAGCGGAGCTTGCCCCGTCCACGGGGCAGCCCTCTGGCTCTACCTGGTCTCGCGTCGGCGCGCCCCCTCATGGTGATCGTTGATGCCGAGACCACCCCGTCCCGACGCCTGGGCCGACCGGCCGACCTGCCTTCGTGGCCACAGCCGCGCATCATCATGCACATCACGAAACATGTGTCCATCATCCACAGCAGCCACTCCCCACCTGTCAGAAGAGGGGCACGCTGGCAGCGGCAGCCCGGCTGCCCAGTATGCCTCCACGTACTCCGCTTGCGAGCCGAACCGCTCTACAGCTTTTTTTGGACCCGCTCTGTACTTCTGGTTCCGCATTTTGAATCCGCAGTGCCGCGCGTGTCACTCAAGTCCTCCCGTTCCTCTTTTCCTCGTCTCTCCGTCTCTGCTCTCCGTCCGCATGCTCACCTCGGCACGCCCCTCATACGGATCGTGCCCCGCAGGGAGCTCCCCCTATTGTGCCACTGGGCGCAGACGAATGCGAGCCCGCGGCCACTTCGGCATCCCTCACGCAGATCGTGGCCTCGTGGGATTTCCACCTACGGACCCGCTGGGCACAAAGGCATGCGGCCCGCGCCCATCTCGGCACACCCCTCGCGCGGATCGTTGCCGCATCTGGAGGCCCACCTGCGGGCTCGCATGCGGGCCCGCGCTCGTCTCGGCACACCCGCCAGACCGTCGAGCGCGGCGCTCCTTGTATCGGTGACCGTGGCCGTGCCCACGTCCGGCGAGGCGAGGTGGTCCCCGGAGCCCCTCCGGTGTCACGCTGGCCCCCGAGGCTGGCAAGAGGCCTCCAGGAGGCCCACGGGCCCCCGAGACCGCCAAGAGGCCCCCACCGGGCCCCCAAGAGGCCCCCGAGAGGCCTCTGGTGAGCGTCCTGGGGGCCTCTGGGAACGTCTTGTGGGCCTGATGGTGGCAAGAGGTCTTTTGGAGGCCATCTTGGAAGTCAAATCCGTTTTGATCATATTGTCTGTTTGTTTGTCTGTTTGTTGTATCTCAGTGTCTTCGGTTTGATAGACGAGCGCTGAGGCCTTGAAACCTAGACATCCGCCGAAGGTTTGACCGTGGTGCTCCAAGCAAAGCAGAGAGCAGTTGAGGGCGGCCTTGGGCCCTTGGGCGACGTGCAGCCCGTAGGGGTGGCGGGACTATTGTAAAGGAGCTCGCGCTCATACGGCAAGCATATTCATTTTTGTTGTTGTTGTCCTTTTGTTGTTGTTGATGTTGTTGTTGTTTTTGTTTTTGTTGCTGTTGTGGTTGCTGTTGTGGTTGCTGCCGGTGTTGTTGTTGTTGTCGTCGTTGTCGTTGTTGTCGTTGTCGTTGTCGTTGTCGTTGTCGTTGTCGTTGTCGTTGTCGTTGTTGTTGTTGTTCCCCATATCCTAAGATGGGGTTCTTGTTATTACTTGGACGCCTCCTACTCCTCCTCCTCCCTCCTCCTCTTTTCTCCTCCCCTCCTGTCGGACATACTCAGACTTGCTCATACACAGACTTACTCATACTCAGACTTACTCATACTCAGACCTACTCATACTCAGACTTACTCACACTCAGACATACTCATATACAGTCTTACTCATACACAGGCTTACTCATACACAGATTTGGAGGATGTCTCGAGCGAGGCGCTCATTTCAGCACCCCTAAGGGGAGCCGCCAGGGGTGTTTGCACGGGCTCGTTCGCGGCCATTTTGTGGGGATGTCTCAGGCGGTTTGCTTGTTTCTGGGCCCAACATCCTTCGCTTTCGGAGCAGATTTGGAGGATGTCTCGAGCGAGGCGCTCATTTCAGCACCCCTAAGGGGAGCCGCCAGGGGTGGTTGCACGGGCTCGTTCGCGGCCATTTTGTGGGGATGTCTCAGGCGGTTTGCTTGTTTCTGTGCCCAACATCCTTCGCTTTCGGAGCAGATTTGGAGGATGTCTCGAGCGAGGCGCTCATTTCAGCACCCCTAAGGGGAGCCGCCAGGGGTGTTGCACGGGCTCGTTCGCGGCCATTTTGTGGGGATGTCTCAGGCGGTTTGCTTGTTTCTGGGCCCAACATCCTTCGCTTTCGGAGCAGATTTGGAGGATGTCTCGAGCGAGGCGCTCATTTCAGCACCCCTAAGGGGAGCCGCCAGGGGTGGTTGCACGGGCTCGTTCGCGGCCATTTTGTGGGGATGTCTCAGGCGGTTTGCCTGTTTCTGGGCCCAACATCCTTCGCTTTCGGAGCAGATTTGGAGGATGTCTCGAGCGAGGCGCTCATTTTCACCCCCCAGGTGGGCCAGATTTTGAGGATGTCTCGATCGGTTTGCTTGTTTTGGTGGCCAGGCTCGTGGGCGCAGATTCTTCTCAGGATGCCACAGGAGGCTCCAACAGGCTCCAGGAGGCCCCAGGAGACCACATGAGGTCCCAGGAGGCATCAGGAGGCCACAGAAAGACTCAAGAGGCCACAGGATGTCCCAAGAGGCTCCAGGAGGCCCCAGGAAGCTCCAGAAGGCCTCAGGAAACCACAGGAGGCCCCAGGAGGCAACAGGAAGCGCCAGGAGGCCTCGGAAGGCAACAGGAGGCCCCGAGAGGCCCCAGGAGCAGGAGGCCTCAGAAGGCAACAGGAGTGGCTCCAATCCCATGTGTTTTACGTATGCTCCTATCGATTGGGCCTCACCTGGAGCACGACTCTTTGATGTTCTACGTATGTTTCTATAGATGGTCCTTCTCCTGTGTACACAATCCTAAATGTTTTACTCATGTTACTATGTATTGGGCCTCTCCTGGGGCACGAGTCCTTGGTGTTTTACGCGTGTTCCTATAGATTGCCCTTCTCCTGTGGCTCTAATCCGCAATGTTTTATGTACGTCTGTTGCTATAGATTGCGCCTCTCCTGGGGCACGAAACCTTCCTAGGAGGTCCCAGGAGGTCCCAAGAGGCTCCTGGAGACCCCAGGAAGCCCCAGTAGGTTTCAGGAGGCCCCAGGAGGCCCCAGGCTCATGCACAGAGACGCGCTCGTACTACTGAGGCTCATTCACACTCCAATTCGCATTCGTCCACCGTGAAGCCCGTATTCGAAAGCTCTGCGCCACATTACAGTCCATGCGAGTAGATGCACATATGGGGAGCTCCACGCAGTGAATATTGTTGTTGTTGTTGTTGTTGTTGTTGTTGTTGTTGTTGTTGTTGTTGTTGTTGTTTGTTGTTGCTGCTGCTGCTGCTGCTGCTGCTGCTGCTGCTGTTGTTGTTGTTGTTGTTGTTGTTGTTGTTGTTGTTGTTGTTGTTGTTGTTGTTGTTGTTGTTGTTGTTGTTGTTGTTGTTCCCCATATCCTGAGATGGGGTTCTTGTTATTACTTGGACGCCTCCTACTCCTCCTCCTTCCTCCTCTTTCCTCCTCCCCTCCTCATACTCAGACTTACTCATACTCAGACTTACTCATACTCAGAACTTTCTCATACACAGACCTACTCATACCCAGACTTACTCATACACAGACTTACTCATACACAGACTTACTCATACTCAGGCATACTCATACTCAGACCTACTCATACTCAGACTTACTCAACACACATCAGATTTGGAGGATGTCTCAAGCGGGGCGCTGGTTTCAGCACCCCTAAGGGGAGCCGCCAGGGGTGTTTGCACGGGCTCGTTCGCGGCCATTTTGTGGGGATGTCTCAGGCGGTTTGCTTGTTTCTGGGCTCAACATCCTTCGCTTGGAGAGCAGATTGTGAGGATGTCTCAGGCGGGGCGCTGGTTTCAGCACCCCTAAGGGGAGCCGCCAGGGGTGGTTGCACGGGCTCGTTCGCGGCCATTTTGTGGGGATGTCTCAGGCGGTTTGCTTGTTTCTGGGCTCAACATCCTTCGCTTTCGGAGCAGATTTGGAGGATGTCTCGAGCGAGGCGCTCATTTTCACCCTCCAGGTGGGCCAGATTTTGAGGATGTCTCGATCGGTTTGCTTGTTTTGGTGGCCAGGCTCGTGGCCCTAAGGGGAGCCGCCAGGGGTGGTTGCACGGGCTCGTTCGCGGCCATTTTGTGGGGATGTCTCAGGCGGTTTGCTTGTTTCTGGGCTCAACATCCTTCGCTTTCGGAGCAGATTTGGAGGATGTCTCGAGCGAGGCGCTCATTTTCACCCCCCAGGTGGGCCAGATTTTGAGGATGTCTCGATCGGTTTGCTTGTTTTGGTGGCCAGGCTCGTGGCCCTAAGGGGAGCCGCCAGGGGTGTTTGCACGGGCTCGTTCGCGGCCATTTTGTGGGGATGTCTCAGGCGGTTTGCTTGTTTCTGGGCTCAACATCCTTCGCTTTCGGAGCAGATTTGGAGGATGTCTCGAGCGAGGCGCTCATTTTCACCCCCCAGGTGGGCCAGATTTTGAGGATGTCTCGATCGGTTTGCCTGTTTTGGTGGCCAGGCTCGTGGGCGCAGATTCTTCTCAGGATGCCACAGGAGGAGGCTCCAGGAGGCCCCAGGAGACCACATGAGGTCCCAGGAGGCATCAGGAGGCCACAGAAAGATTCAAGAGGCCACAGGATGTCCCAAGAGGCTCCAGGAGGCCCCAGGAAGCTCCAGAAGGCCTCCGGAAACCACAGGTGGCCCCAGGAGGCAACAGGAAGTGCCAGGAGGCCTCGGAAGGCAACAGGAGGCCCCGAGAGGCCCCAGGAGCAGGAGGCCTCAGAAGGCAACAGGAGTGGCTCCAATCCCATGTGTTTTACGTATA